TCCAAATGCAGTGAGAAACGACAATTCGTTTTGTTTTGATAAGATGCGTGTAGGCTCTGTTGACCAAACACAGCATGCACTGAGCCAGCGAGAACGGCCAGCATCCCAAAGTGGAACAAATAACAACTGGCGGACGCCAGGAAAATGATTCGACAAGAATCTTCCATCTGCTGCAGCCCTAGCCATTTTATTCTTTCCACGTTGTTGAGTTCTGCCCGGTCTCACAGAAGATCTATAACCTTTGAGCATCTCATCATCTGACGCTGAGGACATGGATCCATCCGAATCAAAAGTCCATAGCTTTCCGCGTGGGTACCGGCGCAAAAACTGATGTAAAGACCTTTCCTCGAATGGCAAGAATGAATGAGTCCCCGGGTATGAATCGCCATTGATTGATGATGCCTCGGGGGTAGAGAATCCCAAAATCTCGATTTCTCGTGTTTGTGACATGGTCGACGATCGAGTAAAAGGTCGTGAAATCGAGAATTGAGGATTGAATCTGTTTCTCATTCCATCATCACCACTCGTCTGGCTATCAGTAACAGACGATTCCAAGTTAGAAGCTTGCGTATCACTGCTGAAACCTTTTTGTGCATCGTAAAATACAGCTCCGCCATCTACCTCAAATGTTTCCCTAATCAGATTGGAAGCGCGGGAGAAGAGCAACTTTAGAGCCGAAGCTTCGGTAAATTCCTCGTCAGGGGTATCAGTTTTACACATATCGGAAGGTGACTGCTCTGTTGTACTAGTCTCTCCATAAGAGGAATAGGGGGTGGATTCCATCCCTGGTCGTTCATTGGTGAATGAATCCGATCGTTCAGATCCCAAAACGGTACCTTCTATCCTTGGAGGAATGGTTGAAGTTGAGGTAACATGCCCCTTTTCTTTACCATTGCTAAGAGAAAGTGAAGTAGCACTTGACACCCTCGAATCTTTTGTTGATGATGAAGACTTTGACTTTTGCCGTCTGATCCCTGTGTCTGTTTCAAACTGGCCAACAATCTTCGTACCCTCTCCGTCTTCTGCTTCCATGTCTGCCTCTTCGAGTTCTGCACGTCCTTCGACAAATGATGCAAGACCTCTGCTCATCTTCATGCCACGTCGATGTTCCTCCACCTCTCGAGTCAACTCTAGATGCTTCATAACGGTGCATGCCATTGTGCCCAAGAAAGAGATGTCATCTTTGGAGAGACCGGGCCTGGCATGACTATCGACCACAAATAAACTTCCAATCGGTATGCCTCGCTTGGTGATAAGTGGAACTCCTGCATAGAATCTGAGATGTGGGGGTTCCGTAACAAAAGAAAGTTGATTGAATCGATCATCTGATGTCAAGTCATTGACAATGAATGCAGGATACTCTTCACCCAATATGGTTGGGGCAGTCTCGATGGTCCTGTAGCAGAGATTAAATACAATTGATGACTTGATTTTAAATTCAAATTCGCTTTTGTCATACCTCTCGCACAGCCTACCAGCCTTTGACACCGAAGTACAGCCAAGCCACAACTCATCACCTGGTTTGTGCTTTGTGGCATCCACTAGGTTTAATGATTTTGTGCTTTCTGCAATGAAATACTGAGTGCCATCATCGATAAGACTTGAGGGATTTGTCAGCTGTGAACCCAATGTGACAGATATGCAAGCTTGTATCATACCTGATCATTGCTCTCTGCACCTCTAATCTCCATGATACCAGTTGGCAGAATGCTGTCAGCGATGTGTCGGGAGAAGAAATTTTGGTTGAAGTAATATCAGATTGTACTTCTATATCCTGATTGCCAAACTCGGTGGATGGTTGGGGTACTGGAAAACATGTCTCTGTATTTATGGGAGCAGTAGGTTGATAGTACCTGAAGGAGATAGATATCAGTATGATAGCTCTTTCGCATTTGAACTCGCGGTACCAAATGAATCGGTAGTGAGCCACTTCTAGACCATTTCATGAGATAGACATGATTGATTCCCTTCTATTTGACTCAGCATGTGTGAGTCTTTTTGTGTCTCCCCCCATGATTCTTGTTACACTTGTGCAACCGATTCAAATTAAACAATGGGACATACTTGTATAATTCTCTGGCTCTGGCGGAATCGGAAATCCCCTCCACATGCGAAAGCGCGACTGTTGCTTCTACCGGCGCCATCTGCGCTGGGTTTTAGTTGAATAGCTGGCCAGCTTTCAGAAAGTTCGACAGGATTGAGAGAAGGTAGTCAAGGTGATGATCAGTCTATGATCCGTCTCTAGGTGAGGTGGGAGTGGTCGGGGAATGGTCGAGGCAGTAAGGTCTGTCTAATGAATGCGACGATCAGAAATCGAGTGACTAAAGTTTCTGACCTTATTGATGATCGGTATATTAGTATATTGAATGGTAATGGTAATGGGAAAAGACAAGGAGGGAGTAGAGATTTACTCACCTAGCTTCTAGTTGGTTTGCATGCATTGGCTTGTGTTAAAAAGCAACCCCTCCACCTTTTCAATATGATTAAATACCGACGATGCAGCCCCAAATCCAATGCCAATGCCTTATAGGTAGCCGTTTCGCAGATAGACCAAATGAAATAAAGTATAGATGTGTTAGACACTGAAGGGAGTCTAAGCCTTAATAGTATTAAGGTGAATTTTTTTAATTTTGGGTTTAAATAATAATCTTATCTTGTTCTTAAATACACGATAGACGTAGAAAGAAAAAGAAAAAGGGTTTGGGTGGTGAGAAGGATGGTTGGTAAATTGGTAGATTGGTAGATTGGTAGATTGGTACGAGTATGTAGTAGTAGGTAGAGTATGTAGTAGGTAGGAGATAAGGTTGGGTCAGTGTATGAATTATTATTAATTGAGTTTCGAGTTTGACTTCAGATTTGACTTTAGATTTGACTTCAGATTCAAACTTCAGATTCAAACTTCAGATTCACCAATTCGACTGGTGGAGATTACCTAATAGTTACTAAGGGGTCCTAGTTTTACCTGATGTATGTTTATTAGTATGATAGCATTATTAGTGTGAACATGCTGTGACTGGACACGGACCAGAAAAGAAAGAAATAATAAGAAGGAAAGGAAAGGAAAGGGAAAGGAAAGGGAAATGTTCAGATTGAAGCGTGTCTCGAGTGTGTTACTGCTATCTGGGACTTTCTGAACTCTGGTGTGGCCGGCAAAAGGTCTGGATGGGATGTAGAAAAATCGATCGACATCTTGCGTCATTATGCATTGATTCTTGATTAATATGGGTATCGTAAGCGAAAGAGGCGTGAATGTAAAGATGTCATCAGGGTCTCTGGAGCACCCCGGGAGATTCTGGAGGGATTGAGCCGGTGGAGATTTTCTATTGCCCTCTTCACTCTCCCTTTTACTCTGACTCTTGCTCTTATTATTCTTACCCTCGATCTCACTCTCACTCTCACTCTCACTTCCACTCTCAGTCTTCACTCTTACTACTCTCATTCTCCACACATGCCTAATGATCCAAAATCGGGTTGTTTATATGTGTACCGTAACTGACACTTTACTCTTTACTTCACTCTTCACTCTTCACTCTTCACTCTTCATTCTTCACTCTTCACTCTTCTCTTTACTCTTTACTCTTCACTCTTCACTCTTCTCTTTACTCTTTACTCTTCACTCTTCACTCTTCCCTCTTCCCTCTTCCCTCTTCCCTCTTCCCTCTTCCCTCATCCCTCATCCCTCATACCTACCAATGCTGTATTACATCCCTAGTACCTAGTACCTATGAGGTACTACAACCATAAACTCTTTCTCAACCTAGTCTCTTCACTGTCTAGCTACTTCACCAGACTAGAACTAAAAGATGACACTAATGGACCCTTTGTTTTACTTTTTTTCTTTCTTCCTGCTCAATTCTCGTTCCTCTCGTTCCTCTCGTTCCTCTTCCCCATATTAAATTATCTTGACGCTTCTCGGGTGGTTAGTACGTTGTAGATAAAGCAATATCAGGAATCATCCTTGCATTTGCATTTGTAAGTATCACGTTACCCATCCTTCACTTCCCATCACCCCCTGAAATCTCCCCAAAAGAGTTCCGAATAGTTTCCCAAGTCTAATCGATGAACATTAGACATCGGCTCTTGGGTATAGCCCGCCAGCCCCGTGGCACCCCTCGTACAGTGTACACCGTCCTTTATACTTTTCTTTAGTGGTGAAGATTAAGCTTCCGATCTAGACCCAGGACTCTCTTCACCACATGAAGCACTAACATCTTCCAAACATCGAACCGAAATTCCTCACAAACATTTGTGGCTGAGCGGTGTCCCCAGCCATTCCCCTTTCAGGTGATGCTCGTCAACTCGTATGTATCAAGATTCAAAATCCCTATGTCTCATTCAGTATGGCTATGGCATTCTCGAATGCTATTTCTTCGGAAGGTGGGGGGTGGCGTGCTTGAAAATAATCTGAAGCTCGTTGGGCTGAATGTATAAGGATTGTCTCTTATCATTCTTCAAATAGCTACTAGGTCAACGACTAATAACTATGCTTCAGTCTCGTGCATTTCAATAGTTCAGTACTACTGTACCGGAAATCGTAGAGTCGGGCGCTTCCGATTCCGTTATGTCTACTTTCCCGTGGCATAGCATGGCGCGGCATGGCAAGGGAATTTTGCATTCCGGTCACGAGAGTTTGATCTGATCCCAAGGTAGGGTTGATGGAGCTCGGTCTATCTTGGGGGAGGGGAAGGATGAGGATACACGTGGTTTGGCACACGGAACGGATACCGGTGCTCCCATTTTCAGGGAAACGGTGACAAGTAGACTAAGAAGAATATTCTGGAAGGAATTTATCGGTATACGGCGTCTGTCCATGATATCTGTCTATGATGTCGTGAGCAGTTAGAGAAAATCGACTTTGTAAGGTTGAGGAAAAGTTTAATAAATGAAGACATTCAATATAACAAATAACCTTAATAATCAAGGAATTTAGTGACGATTTAGACTTTACCAGATCAATTGGAACTTCAGAAGCATGAAATTGATGTCACACAGGTACTCGAGTTAAATTGAATTTCACTCTTTGGTCCTTGCATCTGCTCTATACTCTTGGTGTTTTCTCTGTACTGTGCTTCGAGACGAGAACCATAGATTCTTGAGCATCTAACCAACGATACCATTTAATTATCACTCTTAGCATTTAGTCTGCCTCCATGGCAATGGCCCTCGGAGAGCCAGCGGAGCGTCATTTAGATGCAGACAGACAGACAGACAGACAGACGGATCATGTAAATCGATATAAGGTTATTGATCGATTCCAAGTACTATCTCTCTATCTATCATCTACTTGTTACCACCTATATTCACCTGTATATATGCATATACTCGAATACAATTTATGTTGAATCTTTAATTACGTTCATTATTCAGTCTGTCTCTCTCTGTCTGTCTGTCTCTCTCTCTCTCTCTCTCTCTCTCTAGGTAATAGGAATTCTCAGTCATATCTAGGTGCGACCATCTAGTCTACTGTGGGTAGCAGGTACTAACACACCTACTTCGTACTCTATACTGCTGCATCTGACATTCATCTCCATCCATGGATCCCTTTGATCTCATCAATTTTGGCCTGAGGCACTTCCAATCAAATTCTCCATCTATTTTTTACCCATCCATTTGCTCATTTGCCCATTTGCCCGCCACGGCGCCACTCTACACATATCCAATCTCTTCATCCTTTCGGCGTTTGCGTCAACAAGAATAGATTCCTTACATCCGAAAGATTCGGTCCCTCACACGATCTGCTAGGATTTGATTGGCAACATCGACTATTCTTACATACATTGTGACGACCAAAAAAGCCTTAGATGTAACTACCAAGATCTCGAAATCGACTCACATCAGGATTAAATCCCGAGTTTTCCAAAGAGCCGCTTTTTTCACGATACACAATCAACCAACACTCGTACCCATTCTCGTTCAACACCTACTACCCATCTGCCCCTTACACAAACATCTCCACCCCACGAGTACTGGTATTGACAAGTGGGGGTATTCGAGTACTCCTCAATTCAAACTTCACTCGGCTGGCGATAGTCGCATATCGATCGCATATCAATACAATTTGCATCTGCGAGTGGCGCGAAGGATATTCTCTCATTCAAAGACCATCTTTCACACTCCATCTCTACACTTCATCTCTACACTCCATCTCTCTACACTCCATCTCTACACTTTCACCATCATTCATCATGCAAATAAGTGAGACTTCGATCAATATGAAGCCGGATCCCAATCAAGTCGCATGCGACGAATTTTACAACAGCCTCAACCTCGACAACCTACCTCCCAACCACAATCTACAAGCTGCTGGGGCCAAGAACAATAATCCATCGGGCCCAGAGACTATAAAAACAGAGGTCCCGCAAAAAGCTCCAAAGAAGAGGAAGAGAGTGGTAATCTCATGCACCGAGTGCCATAGGCGCAAGCAAAAGGTTGTTTTCGCTTTCTTATTGTATTCTCATAAGATGAGTTGTCTAATACCAATTCTAGTGTGATCGTCAATTTCCATGTTCGAATTGTGTTAATCGCAATAAGCAAGATGTGTGTCAATATGAGAATGAATCTGCGAGGAAACAACAATTACTAGATGACTTGAGGTCGTCTGATAATGCGGAATACGGAAAAAATGCACAAGTCGAGTCGGATTCCGTAGCAAAAGTTAGTGCTTTAGGATATGCAAAGTCAAATGGGGCCCATTCAAACACAACTCTGGGAATCTTCAAGAAGATAGAGGCAGAGGTCAACGATGGGGCCGCTGTGACATCGCATTCTATAACAACATCAGAGAATGCTGGACTCCGGGAGAAATACAAGAGCTTAATACGACAATTACCCTCGCGACCCTACATTGATATGCTTCTAAAGACCTTCTTCCGCGAAGTCAACTTTCAATATTATGCTTTAGACGAAGGAACCTTTCGCGATCATCTCAGAAATTGGAACAATCTCTCTTTTGCAACTTTGAATAAAGGACCACAGGAATTACCCGCCGATTTACAATTTTTTCCCGCTCTCTTATTCCAATGTATCGCTATGGCCTTACTGTTTCAACCACCAGACCATGATCCAAGTTTGGAGTCACTCAAATATGCAGCAGGGATGTCATTTGATGATCTTGCGGCTGATTACAGTGATTCGGGGGTCAGTATCTTGACCTTGTTAGGAAAACGAAATACTACTCTTGTGACTGTTCAGGCCGGTTTTGTAAGGGCGTCATACTTGAAATATAGTGGAATGGTGCCTGAGAGTTGGCATTCTCTATCCCAAACAATCAAAGATGCGCAAGAGATTGAATTACACAAGGATAATTATCAACCTCAACGTCACAAGCCTGAGGATGGATATGAACACATTTGGCATCAACAACTTCGAAGGAGAACTTGGCTTGTACTCGCTCTATGGGATGTGCATATGGCATTGGTTCTTGGTCGACCTACCACCATTGATATGCGTGATCCAAGACCACCTTTCCCCATCGACGCTCCTATACCCGCGACTCTTGAAGATCGACGCAAGACCCCCCCTCTAGAACGGAAGCCTACAGATATGCCCACACCTTTGACAATGTTGTTATGGTATGTTGAAGTTATGGCTCCACTTTGGGATATATATTACCTCGAGAAAGATGGACCACAGCCTAGTGATGCACTCAAGGTTCAAAAGATGCACATTAATATCAAACAAATTCATGAGCTATGTCCACCCTACTTCAGAGCCGAAAATCCCGACACCACGTGGGATAATCATCCTGATTGTTATTGGCTTCCACCCTGCAGATTAATCTTTCAGAATGGTGGTGCATTCACAACAATGGCTCTTCATAGACCATATATTTGTCTTTCGGTTTCAAGTCGCCGTTCTGCTCTTGAAGCTGGTTTGGATATTTTGCGGGTTCAACGTGAATATTTCAGTTTGCTACAGACAAAACATTACAAAATGTTCAACCTTGTCCTAAATACCTTTGACGCCATCATCCTCTCAGCCGCCATTTATATTCTACATCCATTTGAGAATAGGGATCTTCTTGACAATACTCTACAACATTTTGATTGGGCGATGGAGAGATTTTATACTATGATCGGTCGCAATGCCATTGCAAACACTGCAGCTGGTGTACTCAAAGCAATCAATATTCGTTTGAAGAAAGCATTAGGAACAAACAAACCTCAACCATCAACTCCATCAGATGTTGGATCCAATCCATCATCAACCGTCGCTAGCTCACAAGCTGTAAGATCTGGTACTTCTACATCCACACAATCTTACAACTCTCCTGCATCATCTACCGATCCTTCAACCGTATCCTCGGCAAATTCTGTCAATGGAAGTCATTACAATCTTCCTACAATACAAAACTTAACCTCACCAAATCCCAATATACCAGCCGCCTGGGAATTTCAAGGAACTAATAATATTATGCCACACAATTTCGATCTTTCTTCAATCGCTCCTCTACAACCGATGCACGATCTAATATTCAATGATCTGAGTACGAACCTTGGAGGAACAAATTATGACTTGCCATATCAAAATTTCCAAGACGCAAGTTTATATGCACAACCTGAACCATGGCAATTTGAAGGAGATTTGGGTCAGGATAGTTTTTGGGCAGTCATGAATAATTACAATCCTTAATTAAGGTCTTGGGGATATTTTGGGATGTTATTTGATTTTGTTCATTGTTCAAAAAAGCGGCAGTGGTAGAAGGCGTATCAGCAGTATATATGACGCGGATACGAATTTCAGGTCTTCACATAATTTTTGAAATGATGGGCTGGTGATTTGAAAAGACAGAGAAGGTCGGTGGGTGTGGATATGGAAGTAAAGGGGATGATTAAAATGTTGTGGTATACGTTTTGACATCATCCTGTCCTATTCTAGGTTATGACATCCTAGATCAAACGATATATTACTGGGGCGGGGCGGCGATTGTTGAAAAGGCTTTGAGGGGTAGATGTGGAAGGTATATCGGCAAGCCTACACGGATACGGATATCATGATATATATAATGCATATGCTACACGGAGTTATTGTTCCCTTGTTGTATAATCAAACTACCCATTGAGAGTCTATAAAAGTTTACTTGTCTCTTCACATTTGCTGATATTTTTCTCTCTGGTGAAATGTCTCGATGATAGTGTAATGAATGAATTTGAGGTCCAAGAAAGGGCATCAAAAGACAAATCCGTAGATAGACGAATGGGAAAGTGATATTGATATTGATATCTCATGGGCACGAATCGCTTCTGGGGGAGTAAAAAAGGTTTGTAGTCTTATATCGTGCGTGTTTTCTGGGGTTTTCTTTTTTGATTATCTTTATGATAGCTCGTGTAAGATTACACATAACTACTTCTCGTCTCCTGTCTCCTGTCTCCTGTCTCTTGTCTCTTGTCTCTTGTCTCTTGTCCCTTGCTGGGATCTTGAGTCTTGAGAACGGTGTGTGGTGTGTAGTGTGTGGTGTGTGGTGGTGGTGTGTGGTATATGGTATATGGTGTGTAGTGTGTGGTGTGTGGTGTGTAGTATATGTATAGCGGAGAGGAGAGGAGAGGAGAGGCCAGATATAGATGGGGATAGGATAGGGAAGGGAAGGAGAAATATAGACGTATCTTAGCTATTGATATTGGGGGGTTTGGAAGTTGATGAGTTTTATGGTTGAGGATTGGGAAGTGGGAAGTGGGAAGTGGGAAGTGGGAAGTGGGAGGTTTGAGGTATTTGGTTGGTGATGTTTGGTGATGTTTGTCGGTCGATTTATGTATGTGTGTGTATCTATGTATTTGTTGGATTTGTTGTTCTCTTTGACTTGGGAGTTGGGAATGGAAGAGAAGGAGAGGAAGGGAGGAGGGATAAGTGGGTGCAGAGGAAACAAGAGGAGATTGAACTCATCTATAAGTTGAAAATATCTTGCCCGTAGTTTGTTAAGTAGGTACTGAGGAAGAAGAGACGGAAGGAAGGGGGATTTTCTTGCGTTTTCTCTTGCTGTTTCTCTTGCTTGCGTTGTGGTAATGAATAAGTGGTTGGTGGGTTGAGTTGTGTTGTGCTGTGGTGTATTGATAGATGAATGAGCAAATGGGTGAATGGATGAATGAATGGGCGAACAATTGGAGAATGGGAGCGAGTTAGTCTTATTTGATTTTATGTGATTTCATTTGCTTCGTCATACACTGTGCTATGATATGATATGACTACCACCAGATAGACATCAGATGTGTATATATTCCTACTGCAAACGAAGTCATAATTATCTACCTATTTATCTATTTATGTTCCACAGGAGCTGATGCATGGAAGTCGACTGATCCCTTAGGATTTTATTCCGGGATATGAATGAAAAGTGGTTGGTGTGTTGGGGTATCGAATTTGGTGTTCGTTGGGATGGTATGGTATGGGATGGGATGCTATTGTATTGTAGATACAGCACTATGCATTAAGTTCACGCGCAAGGCCATTTTACACCCAAACTTACCATATTCGAAGAGTCATAAAAACCTGATTTTACTGTTTATTGATATACAAAACTTCAACATCCATCAAAATTTATCAGAATAATAATAAAAATTGAATAGATTATTTTCCACTATTTTTAATTCTATTTAAAAAGGCTTTGAATTCAAACCTTTTAAAAAGTTATCAAATTCGCTTAATTTTGATGTAGGAATTCAATTTAAAAACTTCTTTTATTTCAATCTTATATATAATACTAGTATAATAATATAGAATTTTGAAATTAACATATAGTTAAATTCGATTGATTTTGATTCTATAAATATAGGATTTATTAAAAACCATTTATTCTAATAAGATTAATATTTAATTGAAATTATAACGAATATTATATAATATTATAATTACTCATTATATATACCTTAGTTCAAGACTAGCTTAAACTAAGCGATTATTACTATATAAGAAATAATAAGATTTCTTAAGAATGTCTTCTTTCTTTAGCTTTCTTATTCTAGTTGTTTAATCTCTATTAATATGCTCTAGTATATAATTATAATAGAAATCGAGATCTTAATTTCTCTACCTGTTAATATAATTAGAAATAATCCTTTTGGAAAAGATATTTATACTATAATTCTACTTTTATTTATTAATTAAATTGATTATCTATATAAAAATGAGTAGTCGAAAAGAATATATCGGGATAATGATTTATAATAATTTATTAAAGTTGTTAAGTTTATTCAAGGAATTAATTTTGCGCGAATTTTATTGAGGTTGCTGTGCAGTAATATATCATAATTATATTAGTCTAGATAAGAGATTACCCGGTAACACAATATTCTCGTGCGACTGGAAGTTGGAAGTTGGAAATGCCGATATATGTGTGTGTGTATGAATCACCTGCTCACCTACTTACTTGCGTCCGATTCTTTCTTCATTTCTTTCGGTCGGTCGGTTGATCGTTCTATACAGTATACTCATCCATCATCGAAGCCGTGAGAGAAGTTAGGAAAGTGGAAGAGGAAAGAAACTAGGGAAATTTCTGAAACAAAACTGCTTTCTTTCTCAATACTACTACGGAACAGGAGATGGGATTTTCAGCAGAATGTTGGATCGATGATCTACTTTTATTTTTTGTGGTGTATATATACGGATGTAGATCTATAGGTGTGTGGGTATGCATGTAAGTATGGATGGATGCAGCTGAGTTGCATAAATGCGTTAGGCATGTTGCACGACATCGGATTGGATTCACCACGTATGAGTGTATGTATGTAATTGGGAAGAAAGAATGGATGGATGGATGGGATCGAGATCTATTTGAACTTTGTGTATATTTTGAGATACTTAGAAAATTTCCCAAGATACCAAATCTGCATATATGTGCAAGTTGAAGTATCAAAAAATAAGCTCCATTTCCATCGGGAAAATGCCAAGACAAGCCAATGTAGCACCAATGCGACGGGAAACATCTACTTGCACACCCTCACTTTCCCGGAATGGGTGATTGGATGAGAATTCGTGTTTGGGTATTGCGGCTGAGATGCTTGCAGAGCTGGAGGGAAGATCGAAGGTGGGTTTGGTTTGGTGCGAGAGTCTTATGGTGCTTACTAGTATGGGATATTGGTGATATTGGTGGTATTGGTGGTATTGGTGGTACCAATATGATAGAAGATTGATACTCAAGTAGGTAATTTGATTGGGATTGCGGGGGTTGGATTGGTTGTGAGATGCTGGGTTGAACATCCCATTTTCCTTGGTATATTGGTATGTATATATTGTCGATTCCTCATTCTGACGTGTATTGTTTCAGACAACTTTTGATTTGATGGTTGTTAGTTTTGTTTGCTTCATTTGCTCTTACCCTTTTTTTTTTGGCGAAAATGATGGGGGTAGCGTTTCAATATTGATGGGATTTTATTACTTTATATCATTACCTATCATCACTCTCTCTGGGGAAATAATGATGAAGATATATAGAAACCGAAGCTGAAGTGGTGTTCTTTGAAATGAGATGAAATATATTCCTGAGTGACTTTGACGGGAGAAATGTATTTGGTTTATTGACGATATCGGTGGTTAGATCAAACAGAGTCGTCGGTTGACCAGCAGTCAGAGTGAAGAAAGTGAATACCTCAATCTCTGTTCGGCCTTGCCAACTCATTCACCTCGATAATCCGTCTTCCTCGCTCAACTTCAAATCATGAATTCACCCTTCTCGGATATGAAGCTTTGTCCTAATAAGATGGCTTCAATTTTATATTTGGGAAGCCTCAATTTTCTCCTACGATTTCAAGATTTGACTACTACGGGAACAACGATAGGAAATCCATCGTCTCTCAGTATATCAAGATCATCAACATCTTCAAAACATACAAAAGACACAGAGGTGAAGAAAGGTCTATATCGCCAAACAATGAGACTTCTACAACCATTCATGGAGCACTGGCTCTTGATTCTCGTTACGACGTTTTTGGTATATCAGGTTACGTTGGTGGTTTATCGACTTTATTTTAGTCCTTTGGCGAAGTTTCCGGGTCCGAAATTGGCGGCGGCAAGTCTTTGGTATGTTGGGTTTTTGATATGTTAAGGTCAAGGGGTTCTGGAATGGGATGTGGAGTGGCAAGGAGAAGTGGCTCGAGAAAGAGAAAGGTTACCTTATTGTGGTATCTTTGCAAAAGATGTGGTATGAGGGTTTGGGTGTTTGAATTTGGCTAATACACGTGGTGATGCAGGTATGAATTCTACTATGATGTTTGGTGTGATGGACAATTTACTTTTAAGATCAGAGAGTTGCATAAGGTTTATGGTGTGTATTTTTGATTTTCTCGTGGGATTTTGGTGTTAGGTGACCAGACTGTTACTTTTTATGTCTTCTAGATGTTGTGTTTTGGTTTCTCAAAAGATGTGTCGTCATGATATTGATTCTCCTTCACTTCATTTATGCCTTCATGTCACTTATCTTTTACCTCCGCCATCACTATCTCTTAATCCATCTCTATACTTAATGCCTCACATTTCTCACAACCTCTCCTTCACACCATCACTCTATCCCACATACTAACATCCCAGGTCCCATCATCCGCATCTCTCCCCATCAACTCCACGTCTACGACCCTGCATTTTATGAAGAATTATATTCCCAACACAAAGTCCGTCACAAGTATGCCTACTTTCTCGATCGTTTCCAACTTCCCGCTTCAGCTTTTGGAAGTGTAGATTACAAACTTCATCGAGAAAGACGCGCTGCTCTCAATAAATATCTCTCGAAGCAAACGATCAAGAAATTGGAACCTATGTTACTTGATATGCTTGATAAGTTATGTGGAAGAATTGAAGAGTTCAAGGAAAAGGGTGAGAAGTTGGATATGAGAATTGTTTATCAGTGTTTTATTACTGATGTTATTACTTTGGTTGGTTTGTTTTCTGTTGTCATATTGCCTCGGTTTTTCCTTTTGGTTCTGATTATGAACTCGTTTCTTGACAAACCTAAATTACCGTATAAACTAACTCCCATACACAGTACGCACTAAATCGTTCTTGGAATCATCTTGATTCTCCCAATTTCTCACCCCTCTGGGTCGAAACAATAGCCGAGACCGTCAAATTAGGTCATCTCCTAACACAATTTCCTATTCTCCTACCTATTTCTCTAGCACTTCCCAGATGGTTCTTAAAAATCACCAAACCTGGTTTTGCTCTGCTTATGGATTTTCGCAAGGTTAGTATGCTTTGCCACCTTCCCCTTTTCCGCTTCTACTTTTCATTCATAACCGAGAATTGAGAGGAAAAAACTATCTAACTCTTCATTTCACCTAGGCAATTGAAGTAGATACTAAGAATATTCTCGATGGCAACTATAAATTTGATCCTGATAAAGGCAATGGAATTGAAGGAACAATTGTCCATGCAATTCTTGAATCGGATGAAATTCCTCCGTCGGAAAAAGAATTCAAGAGATTGTTTGAAGAGGCTTTTGTACTGATTGGAGCTGGGAGTGATACGGTTTCGAATATGTTGACTGTAAGTGGTTTCTTATGTTTCTTGTTTTCGAGGAAAGAGAAAACAACGGAGGGGAAGTAGCGGAAGAAAAGAAGACATTAGGAAGAATACACATGATCCATAACTAACATGATGAATCACAGAACACACATTTCCATCTTCTCGACAATCCACAACATCTGAAAACCTTAAGGGAAGAATTAAAATCTGTTATGACAGATAGGTACGCAAGAGCTTGTTTGAAAGATCTTGAAGGTCTTCCGTTTTTAAATGCTGTCGCTAATGAAGGTTTGAGGTATACATTCAATCCCTTGCCCTTTTCCTCTTCTCTAAGCGCATCATGTATACTTGGGAACTCACTCTAACTAACATACTAAATAGACTTTCTTATGGTATATCAACTCGTCTTCCTCGCGTTTCTCCTTATGAAGTCATGATGTATAAAGATTGGGAGATTCCTGCTGGTGTACGTATTGTTTCCTCTCTCCCATTCTATTCCATTCTCTTCATTTCTACGGAAGTACTTTCACATTATATCATCACCCTTAGATTCAAATTCAGTCTTAAACAAAATGAAAGAAAACAAAATGCTAACCTCACACAGACACCCGTCTCAATGACCTCAGTCCACATGCATCAAAACCCCGACATCTTTCCCGACCCTCTGACCTTCAATCCCTACCGCTGGTTAACCTCTACTCCCGCCAATAATTCTTCTTCCACCACTCTCACCCCCGACAAAACTCTCGAAAAATATCTCGTCGCTTTCAGCAAAGGATCGCGCTCTTGTGCAGGCATCAATCTCGCCAAAGCCGAGATTTTACTCACGCTCGCGACGATTTTTAGAAGATATGAAGTACAGGAGTTGGTGGAGACAGATAGGAGAGATGTGGAGGTGAAGAGGGATTTATTTTTGCCGTTTCCCGAGGTGGGAAGGGGGGGTGTGAGGGTCAGGTATGGATAGGGATGTGGTGAGGGTAAGGGGGGAGAAGGAGAAGAGGGGTGGAGGAAGATGCAGGGAAGTGAATAATGTTTCATCGAATACTACAAATGTGTAAACAGTACCTATTTACAGTATCGACACGAAAAAACAACAAGATGCCTACCTACGCGAGAAACTCTGGGAAAGCTATGCAGATAAGAGGAAGCGAGAAATACACAAATACACATTACAAAGCAAATACCTCACAATCTCGAGAATCATGTGTGGGATTGTGTAGCATGGATGGATGGACGGATGGACGGACAGATCGACAAATGAACTCTTCTACCACATGTCAGTCGTTTAGAGGATGAATAGAGTATGTAGTCTGAGATTTTGAGTTTGGAGTTTGGGGTGGGATATCGGAGAATTTGAGAATTTCTGGGGAGGGGGTAGTCCAGAGCTCTAGCTGTACTTATAGTCACACCCATTAGTTGATATCTATACAGATACAAATAATCAGGTTGTCCGTACTTACCTGTATATCAATGTACCATGTACCATCTATCCAATAGCCAATATGAAGGTGAATCTTAGAACCTCGAAACCAAGATTGGATACAATAGGTAATGAGATGTATTGAACTCAGAGAGTCCGTCCCGTCTATCTAGTATGCCTAGATCGGAATTTTATGATAAACAGGATGCAGATACGAATATGAATAAAACAAGAAAACAAATGGAGAAAAACCAAACACCGCTCTGCTCACCCTTTCCATTTTCCATCTCTTCATAAACTACCCTCCTTCCCGCCCCAGCACCTCGCATATCTCCGCATACATCTCCGCACGAAACTAGACTTAGAACCTGATGATCTCATAAATCTTATAAAGAACTAATAAACCAGTATATAAATCATGAACTTAATTTGACTTCTCATAGCCCTCCCTTCCTTTCTTCCTATCTTGTCTTTCCTTCTCTCATCTCATTCTCTTTTCCCCTCTTCTTTATTATCTTTTCATTTACTTTCTATTCATCTATATAATATTTTAAAACTATATTCTTATATATATGTTATTATTTACTATTACTATTTATTATCTATTATTTATTATTGATTATTTCTGTATTTACTATTTATTATTTATTATTTATTATTTATATTATTATTTATTATTTATTATTTATTATTTATTATTTATTATTTATTATTTAGTATTATTATTTATTATTATTATTATTATTTATTATTTATTATTTATTATTTATTATTTATTATTTAATTTAGTTATTTTAGTATTCATTCATTCCTCATTCATTCATTCATTCATTCATTCATTCATTCATTCATTCATTCATTCATTCATTCATTTATTCATTAGATAGGAATTAATAGATACAAATATCTCATTATATATATATACTCATACAACCTATAAGAATAGACTTGAAGATAAAAGATATAAAGAATTCGAAAAATAGCTTCTTCAAACTCTGCTCCCCCCTTTAATTCTCTATCTAAAGAGCAAATCGAAAATACAAATACTTAAAAAACGCATCAAACCAAATCAAGTAACGGCCGTAAAAGTTTAATATATTTTAGTAGCTAAGTAAAGTATTCATATAGACCCACCTTATCTCTCACACAAACAAACAAGCAAACAAACAAACAACTAAATACCATCTCAGATGCAAATCACTATCGTTTCAAAGCATCTATACAAATCTATCTAAATGATCTACAATTCTTCATGTTTAACCTCTTCATCCCTCTTATCATCCTTCACCTTTCTAATTGCTCCCAAAATTTCTTCTTCACTAGGCATATCATCATTCTCCCCGACCTTGAAAATAGGGCTTCCCTCAGTTCCTTCATCACCCTTTCCAGCCTTTCCATCTGGTCCTCCAAAGCCCAAATCAATTGTCGCATCTGCTTCATCAGCAGTTGCAGTTCCAGTCTTCTTACTCTTCTTCGTCTTTGACTTTGATTTTGTGGACTTCTTCTTCTCGGGTTTGCTAGTTGGCTTGCGAGCAGTCTTGTATGGTTGTTTCATACTCTTCATGATAAGTTCTACACCAATATCTTGAAGTTGTTTGGTCTTCTCGGCAAGATCTTTGATAAGAAGAACAGGGTCAGCTGTAGCAGCGAGTTTTTCTTGTTGGGCGACAAGGTCAGAGAGCCATTTGGAGATATCATCATAAAGTGCTTGAGGAGCTACGAGATCAGCTTCCTTATAGACTGGTGGCTCCATAGTTTCTTCTTCGGGAGGAGCAGTTACTGTTGATGAAGTGGAACCCGCATTCTCTTCATCTTCGAGATCGGCAAAATCATCAACAGTGGCTGTGGATGTTGCTTCAGGGTTGGCTGAAGCGCTGGATTTAGATGCGCTGAAGGAAGAATGGGCGGCTGTTTCATTTTTGATTTGCTCTCTTACACCGGCAATGAATGATTTTGTTTGTTCTAGTGCTTCCTTAAGAGATTTCAAATGTTCAGGTCGGCCAGCGGCTTCTTCTCTTCGCTTTTGAATTGGTGTCACGATATCTTTCATTTCCTTGAGTTTGGCTTTGAGTTCATCACGAGATGCATCGGCACCGCCAGAATAAATCCATTCACTTGCTGCCTTGGATTTGGTCTCTAGATCTGAACGTTCGGCTTCGGTAGATGCTGCGATGAATTCTTCATTGTCAAGGAAGTCTCTTGCCTTGTATGTAAATCCTTCCAATTGGTTCAAAGCTTCTTCGCGTAAACGACGGGATCGGTCGGAATCATCAAATGCAGCGATACGATCTTTCATTCTGGTGATTTCGGAAGCTGGAACTTCCGGAAGACCTTTGAGTTTTGTTTCATATTTCAATGGTATGACAACCAAAGTTTTCTTGCTCTTGGCGGCCTCCTTGTCCTTGACTGATGCGGTGGAGGATTTTGAGGCAGATTTAGAGCTGGAAGATGAGGTGGCTTTTTTAGACGTAGTCGAACTTTCGGTGGTGCTAGAACTGTCCGTAGATTCTTGACCATCCTCTAATGGTGCTTGATCTTTCTTTCCAAATCCAAAAAGTCCTTTGACACTATCGACCATACTCTCCTTCTCTACCTCTTCAACCTCACAGTCAACGACGAATTTCATGATTTCCATTTCACCGTTAACAGGACTAACACGAGTGCTCAAATGGACTCTGATATCCTTGTTGTCGCAATTGTGTTTCTCTTTCAAAAGAGTTACAGACTCTGTCAAATTTTGTGAAGTGATTGCTTTCAATTCCTTTTCTGCGGATCCAGGCGATACTTTCTCTGATGATGCAACATGTTGATAGAAATCAATAGTAAACTCCTCATGATTTTCAAAAGTAAATTGCTTCTCCGCGTTGACATTAGTGGTTGGTTCGTACAACCTCATGTGCCTTGGCTTCTTGTGAATGTCGATGTATTTAATACCAGCGGCATAAGAAGCACCATCGTAACTTCGAATTTCCTTGACCCTAAACGAAGGGCTGAGTCCGGCACCTCTAAATCCAGCACCAAAAACGGCGGCTTCATCGGCATTGACATTGGTGCGGATTTTGTCGGAACCTCCAACAATCTTCTCAAGCTCCTTTTGAACAAATGGAGTTCTGATAGCACCTCCGTGAAGAATGATAGAATCAAGATCCTTAATCTCAAGATTGGCAAGATCTAAAGCCTTCTCAATAACTTTACCGACTCGTGCAGCATGATTCTCGGCGAGTTTTTCGAACTCCGCTCGGCTAATCTTGTATTTGAAGTCAACATCTTCGTAAAGTCCTTCGAAACTAGCTTGAGTATTGGCATTGGCACTGAGAATTTGTCGTAAACGTTCGGCTTCCTTCCACAACTTTGCGGCAGCTCTTCCATGAGCCTGGACCTTCTCGGCAGTTGCTGATACCTGTTGTGCCTTGGGAGATTCGACAAATTGTGCAATCATATCATCGACAATGACAGCGTTGAGAGCATCGCCTCCAAGTGTTCTATCCCATCCACTACTGACGACCTTTACTTCTTGAATGGTCTTGTTGAACTTTCCAACGTCCTTAACGGTTCGTCCTTGGAACTTCAAGATTGAAGCCTTGGTAGATCCGGCGCCCATATCAAAAATCATGTGGTGTTCGGCTTTTCCTCCTTCGTTGATGCTTGGGAAAGTTCGGGAGGTAGCGTAATTGAGACCGACAGCCAATCCATCACTGATCAATTCCAAAACTCGAAGACCTGCCAAATCTGCCGCCAGAAGAACAGCTCTCTTCTCTTCCGTGGTGTAAAAGACTGGAACGGTAATGACTAAATCGTTGACTTTGCTACCTGCTAGAGCCTCGGCGTTCTTTTGAATGCTCTGTAATTCCATGGCTAAGATTTCCTCGACAGACCATGGCTGCTCATCTGCAGCAAATGCACCGCTTCGGAAAGCTGCTGTACCTCGCGTCTTGTCTGCCTCCAATTGTAAAGCCGGGTGTCTAGTTCCATATTCTTTAATGAGATCATTCTCCGTCTTCAATCCCAAGAGGGGTTTGAGGTTAGGATAGACATCTCCAGGAAATCGTGCCGCCAAAGCTACCGCATCTGAACCGTAAACTCGTTCTGGGAACGATCCGCTAAGTGGATTTTTCGAGGGCTTGAAAGCTACGGCGGATGTTTCTTTTCGACGAGAGTCTTTCGTGAGTACAATTTCGAGTGGAATACCGGGTTTTACTAAAGCTGCCTTGATATATTCTGTCCCCAGATCAACACCTAAAACTGCCGATGCAGCCAATGCGGTAGAAGTGAAGATATAAAACAAACATAATATGGACAAGATTGGAGAAGAAAAGATCTTCCCAGAAGAACTCCTCGAAAGAGCCATTATATGCTGTGGTGTAGCAAGCTTAATTGCTAAATGAATGAATGAAGTGAGATGATATTTTCAGAGGGGGAAGATGGAGGATAAGGTCAAAGAAATACTGTAACGAGTTTCAACTACTCGAATATTAAAAGTATGTATGCCCTGCCTCAAACATTCGACATGGAATCTGTCCACAAGGATTCCAAGCCAAATATTCAAAGGACAACGATTCAATTGTAAATATAACAACAAGACCTCTTTTACTTGATTTTTTTATATAATATAATTTACTTATGGACAAGTATCATTTTCTCGATACTTCTTTAAAGTGCCCAGGTGTTTCCAAAGATTGACGTTGATAATCCTTGCAAGGATTTAAAGAGGACAGCTTTACAATTATCAGTCCTCTACGAGTAAGGCTGAGGGTCAAGGCTGAAGGTTCGAGGGGTCTCGATCGATAAGATGTCTTATCTGAACACGATAAGAGGATAAGAGGATAAGAGGATAAGAGGATAAGAGGATAAGAGGATAAGAGGATAAGAGGATGGTAAGGATATCGGAGCGAGAGAAACCCAAACCTCCGACCTTCCAACCAACATTTGAGTGAAGACAAGGTTTCCCACTTTTCCCCTCCATTCCTCACTGCCTCTGCCCCTCCATTGTTACACTGCAACTACAACTACAACTACAACTACAACTACAACTACAACTACAACTACAACTACAACTACAACTACAACTACAACTACAACTACAACTACAACTACAACTACAACTACAACTACAACTACAACTACAACTGCAACTACCATTCCAACTACAACTTGATGACGAAATATTTGGTGGTTTCTCTATGACCTCTACCTTGGCTTCTCACCCAGCCAGCCTCTCAACCATCGCTCTACAAGTCAACCATCCATATGACTGTCTCCTTTCCTTCCACAATCTGACGGTGCATTACAACCACAGAAATAGATTCGATCGAGAATATCAGTCCTTTTAATCTTTTTTAAAATTACCATTTACTACTCGTCTGAAAGACTCCAACTCTCATAAAATTACACATTCATAACATATACTAAAAAGACCATCACTCTTCTCACATCACAATGTCGGCAACTCCTTTCATCCAGTTCTTAGGTCCAACAAACCTTGATGGCTATGATCGCAAACTTCCCGCATCAGAGCAACCCGATCATATTCCCAAAACCTTCCTAGACGCCATGGAAGTTCGAGAAGCTGTCTTCGTCCAAGAGCAAGGAGTTCCTCTCGAAAACGAGTTTGATTCCGACGACTCTCGAGCTTGCCACTGGGTCATTTATGCTTCAGTGAACGAAACCACTGATCCCGAAGTCACCGATGATGATGGAAATATATTACAGAGAAAGAAAAGTAGGACTACATCTCAACCTATTGGCACAATTCGCCTGGTACCATTTCCACATCCACCACATCCTGAACCAGGTTCAAGCTATTATGCTGATGCGCTTGAAACGGCTCCGATTCCCGATGGCAGAAATCCACCTCCTTACATTGTCGATCGAGCAACTACATATCATGACGGAGTCGAACCATATATAAAACTGGGTAGAATTGCAGTTATCAAAGATTGCAGGGGTGCTGGCATCTCCAAGTTACTGGCAGGCGCAGCTATGTCGTGGGCGCAACAGAACCCTACGTTCTTCAATCCATCTGTTGCCACAATGGGAATGGAAAATGTTGGAGCTTCAAGCACGGAAGAAATACCTGTGTGGAAGGGTTTGATGTGTGTCCACGCACAGGAACAGGTTGCGCCAGCTTGGGCTAAATGGGGATTTAAGATTGATGAGAAGATGGGGACATGGAACGAGGAAGGAATTAAGCATGTTGGAATGTTCCAAAGAGTGAAGACGGTCAGCATTGCACCTACGATATAAGCAGCTATACTGTAGTAGAAGCCTCCTTCTCTTCAAAATTATGGGTGAAATCCGAAAAACAGGATATTTTGGGAGGGTTTGTTACACAAGAGATACCCGGTTGATGCTTTGATGGAAAGGATATTAATGATTTTAATGATAAATGACGGTGGTAGTTTAAAACGATGAATATTGTAATTTCAAATGGCAATCGGTTCTTGGACTTGCAATTTTTTTTCTGTCATTCTTTAATATGAACCTCAGTATGCAGTGAATTATCGATGCATTATCATCGTCAGACATAGTTGTCTCCGGATTTTCAATCTCCATTGTTTTGCAACACCATCTCTTGAAAACTTGTTGAAGCTTATTGGGTTGCTATCGATCAGATTTTGTTCTTTCGAGGCCTTATTACCCGCACTTAAATTCGCTCACTTTGTTATAATCATGGGGTTTAATATGACAGCAGAGGAACGAAGGGGAGGCTGAGAGTTCTTCGGGCAGTGGAGCGAGGAAGATCATTCGAACCTCAATGATGACTCTAAAAGGTTAATATTGAGGATGAAAAACTTTGGACCCGTGAAATAGCGCGAATGGATGGTAGCATGATGGATCCTACTGGATCGGAGTTGGCTCAGAGGACGTTTTCGATCTCGAAGTGAATCTTGAAGAAAAGCATAGTGCTCCTGTAAATTGATGGATGAGCTGACGAGAAATGAATTATGTGTATGCTCTTGTCGATACGATCTAGAATTTTATATTGCGGCCAGTGCCAACTCAACAAATGATTAGCCAGTACTCATGGATCTTTTATCTCGGTATGCGACCCCTATTCCTACGCGTTCGATTCTGTCTGCAAGCTTTTTAGTTTTACTTTCTGCTCCCATTACCTCGTCTAGAGCCACACAGTTATTTGATCACCAATCAAGAATCGTGCTATATAAATTTACACCAAGTGCATTGTATGCGAGGCGTAAGGCATCGAATCAAGAAATCTGATTATGATCACAGTATTTGATATGAGAGAGATATTCAAATCAAACTTGTCAATTCTTTGCGGCGATCAGTTCCTAGAACTTGTAATAATATCCGCTCCAGGATTCTACGTTCAAAATGCGTCGCTCCTACTCGCATATGCCTTCGATGTTACACTGTCTGCAGCTTAGAAAATAATGCTCATGTTTTATTGGTCATTGGATATGACGAGCATTGAGGGATGGTTCGATTGATGCACGTCAGACACAGTTCATTGCGACAGCATACTGTTGTTGAAAGAGTAGATAATTCCGTAGGGTCTCAATACCCCTGTTCCATATGAGGGGTACACTCTTGAAGTGTATTAAATGACGCGCTCGTTTGAAGTTGTCTCGTTTGTCACTATTCTCACGCGCAACACACATGTTTTCACGTATCCTCGTGCAGTCTCTCAAATACGGTGAGTTGACTCGTATTACTTATCTGCATAGTCGCGGCGAAGTGCGGGTGTCTATGAGGCTTGATAGGCTGTGGTGATTGCTTAGTGGTTTCTTGGAAATGTGTAGAAGTGCTGCCTTGAGTGAGGCATATGAGGCAAATGAGGCAAAAAGTAACGTACTCGGCGGCGCAGCCTTGTGAGGGGAAGATGGGTATATAATTCTAAAGTTCCTTCATTTCTGGTATTCATCTTTGATTCTATGTACTCAAAAGCCGCGACTTATTCCTTGCATTCAGAACAACTCAGATACCTGGTGTATTTGAAAATGTTAGTCGGACCGCTTTCCCCTGTGAAGATCGAAGCGAAGAGGATCAATGAACTAATAAGGAATAGGGCCAGTTTTCACAATGAAGTTTTCAACGGCTGGACAAGTCAGCATGCAGCTCAGACTACATCCATTCCACTCACGCTTTTCGAGAGTCTCAAGGCATACTACGAATTTTCCCAAGTCGTACAGACTAGTTTCGATCGATGTGATCTCATAGGTTACGCCGATGCTGGCTTTGCTAAGCGCAGCGATAAAGATGATGGTAACGAGGATGATGAAGATTACGCAGATGATAAAGACGCTAACTGGACCATCCGCGCATATCATGCATCCGGATCTCGTCTTGACGACAAGCCCAAGATGGTTATCGAACAGGTCAAGTTCCGTCGGTGGTTTTATACTTGGAAGAACATGAAATATATTGTTTATCGAGCAAATTACGAGGATCCTAAGGGGTTCGGCACTTTGAAGTTACAGTTTATACTTTCAGATAAAGAAGATGACCCCTCCGCTAGGGGTATAGATGCTTTGATCCTAGCCGCCAGTGCCTGGACCCTAGAACTCCACGAAGAAATATATGTCTTTGATAGTCAATTATGGGTTAAAGACAAGAATCTTTACGAATCTGTTCAGGGCTCCTCGTGGGATGAAGTCATTCTCAATAAAACGTTGAAGGCCAATCTTATCGCTGACGTGGAGAGCTTCTTTGATAACCAGGCTTTGTATAAGAAGCTTGCTGTGCCTTGGAAACGTGGGATCATTTTGCATGGTGTACCAGGTAAGAATTATCAGGATCTCCACTATATCATGAACGTGCACTCTTTTGGAATAAATGTCGATTTACATCTCTCCGATTCAAAAATGTCTTTTTATTTCAAACATCTTGCTCTGAATCTTTTATTTCTGACGTCCCGAGATCTCCCCTCTTATTGTCCTCATCACTAACACTTTCCTTCAGGAAATGGCAAAACAATCTCCATCAAAGCCCTCATGTCAACTCTCTCCTCTCGTCCTTCCCCTATCCCATCCCTCTACGTCAAATCCTTCGACGTGAATGCCACGGCCCAAAATGGGCCATCTCAACCATCTTTCAAAAAGCCCGCAAAATGGCTCCCTGTCTCCTTATCTTCGAAGATCTCGATTCTCTCGTCACCGAGAAAACTCGTTCATACTTTCTAAACGAAGTAGATGGACTAGAATCCAATGATGGAATCCTCATGATCGGCAGTACGAATCATTTAGGAAAACTAGATTCGAGTATTAGTAAGAGACCGAGTAGATTTGATCGGAAATACTGTTTTAGAGTTCCGAATGAAGAAGAGCGGAGAGCGTATGTAGAGTTTTGGAGGGGAAAATCGGGAGGGGATGAAGGGGATATGGTTGATTTTGGAGAGGATGTGTGTTCGCTGATTGCGAAGATGACGGAAGGATTCAGTTTTGCTTACTTGAAAGAAATGTTTATTGTTACGCTTTTGAGTATTGCAAGGAGTGCTACGGGAGCGGGGGATGATGGTGTTGAGGAGGAGAAGGAGAGTTTTACGACTGCTTCTACATCTATATCTACATCTACACCTACGGATGACGGGGTAGTATTCGAGAGAGACGATAGCATGGAAAGTGTTTTTCGCAATTTTCAACCTACTACTTGCGACACCGAGCAAACAGCCGAGCAAACAGCCGAGCAAACAAAGCCTCGGAAGACTCTTCCAAAAGTAGACATTCCTGAACATCTCATAAATAACGTGTTTCTCAACGCACTTGTGGCGCAAGCGAAGATGCTGGTAGAGGAAATGGATAGTACGGATGAACTTATGGGGGTGGAGAAGGTTCCTGGTTTGAGTGGGATGGGTGGTGCGATGCATATTGGGATGGCGAGGGCGAGGGCGGGGATGGGAGGGTGTTGATTGGGGTTTGCGAGGGGAGTGGAGTGGAGTGGAGTGGTGGGGTGAGGTGGGGGTGAGGTTAGGGTGTGTTGACTTTTGTGAATGGAATGGGAACTTGCGATGAAGGTTTCCTCTTGGGTGTGAAGATTGGTACATTCGCTTAGAGATCTGTGTAGTCGAAGGAAATGTTCTATCATTGATAGGCATATGTATGCAAGTATTTTGCTAACTTTGTGAATGCAACTAATTGTAAGCGTTTCACTTTATCTGATTGTGGATGAACGAACTCACACAAGTGAAAATAATGTCAGATCCATCTTCCCTTTTTTACAATTGTATCGTCTCATCGTAGGAATGTAAGTGGTAGAAAGGACCATCATACCTATCAACTTATGCTTTCTCCTCCAGATATGTCAAATGGTGGCGACGGATGAGTTCTTGAAAGAGATCCCCATGCTAGTATCCCCTCTAGCTCTCCTCCCAATACACTTATCTAGATTCAAAAAAATCTTTGCATCTCGCATACTCCATCTTAAAGGCTCCACAGGTGTATTCTGAGCTGAATGGGTATATTTTGGGACCAATGGGCTCCGCTTCGTCAACCTCGTTGTACCAGAATATATCATACGTTACACACATTTCTTAGGCAGAAAGGTCTGCTTCTAAGAGTACCCTTGGATGAATATTGTTGCTATGCTGTGTTAAGATGAGGTAAAGTGGTGGAGGTAGAGTGACTACTGGTCCTTATTACATAATCTCGCGAGTGATGACTTGCTCAGAGAAAGGCGATTGAAATTCATCAGGATCCAGAACCATAGAACAAGTGAAAGTCAAGGATATGGATTTGTAGCTGTTTTAAAATCAAGGGCAAAGAAGTTGTGGGTGAGAAAGCAGTCTGGGTTAACGTTATCAAAGCGGGTGCCTGGATGCTCAGAGATGAGAGTTCGACAACCATCATGGCAGACCTATCAAGGCTTACCACAATCCCCTGCACTTGAATCAATACCAATATCGGCATAGGAGTAACTCTCACTCCCGAATTTGGAGGATAATCGCCAGAGCTGAGAAGTTTCAACCGAAATTTCGAACCCCGAGTATTCTAACGAATGGTGAAGAGTTCTGTGAGAGATTCCTCTCTATTCGCTTTATCTTTTCAATAGTATCCGTTGGAAGAACATAGATATTTCCAAGGTTGTCAATTTGGCATCTCTTTCCCCTCTATATCTAGCTACTCCCAATGCGACTACGAATTCGAGATATCGATAGGAGTCGTATGACTAACGATACAACTACCCTCCCTTAACTAGAGGATAATAACTCATCTCGATTGACAGCTTAAACAGCTAGGATGATGCTTGATTTGATGGTGTGTTACTTGCATTTTGAGCAGTCTTATCAAAGTTCATGCTCTGCCCACCAACAAGGCGTACTCTCCCGATGAGGCTATGCCCTCGACGAAAGTTCATGAACCAAAGCATCTTCTATACATCCCACAATACAAAACTTTTCCCCGCGCCCGAGTATCTGCCTGATAACATCGTCGACGTGACCTACAAATCTCACTTGTGCTTACATACGGCAATCACATGATTAGACCCTAACTCCGACTTTATGTCCAATGATGAGACTCGCAGCACCCACGAAACCACCGACGAGATACTTGTTATGAAATAGTATAGCGGTATTTTGACTTCAAATATCTCACCTTCCTATATAAGTCTTCCCATACGAGGATGTTTGAAAATTAAAAGTTTCTGCGGTATATCCAAATCTTCGGAGATCGGAGTTCGGTGTAAGCGATTTGATCGTGTCAGTCATCCGGCGTGATATATTAGTTACAACTATATATAGACTTCTTTACCTCAGGAGCAGATGCCTCGTATTAAACTTTGTGTGGTTGACTTAACATCAATTCCCTTTCATCATTTCCACGCCATCTAATAACCTAGTCGTTAAATCCAAAATCACACATCCAAAATGCCCTCCCGACCCTTCATTCTCCGCCCCGCAACCCTTTCCGACATCCCCCAAATGACACACATCGTCATCGCAGCCTATAGTCCCAGTCCCGTAAGCGACTTCCTCCATCCGCACGCGAAACAATATCCACGAGATCAACAAATCTCCGTTGCACAAGCCGTTACAAAATCCTATCTGAACCCTCATACTCTGACTTTAGTCGTCTGTTCTCCGGAGTCACCTGATGCTCTTTTGGCTTATGGAATGTACAGTCGTAAAGGTGTGGATTCTGGAGTTCAGAAATTCGTAAATGAGAGGAACGGCTTGGAAAGATTGGGGAGATGGATGTTGACTTCTATTTTAACGGTTCTGTTCGCAGTATATAATTACTTCCGGCCCGACCGTGCTACGTCAAAACCCAACAGGGCCGTTTTCAATCACTCAATCAAAATCGATCAAGAGCGTTATTGGTCTCCGGAAGCTTTCCCAAGGAGGCGAAATCGCTGGCATGTCAATAGTATCGTTGTGCTTCCCGAGTACCAAGGAAAAGGCATTGGAAAATTGTTGATGGAGTATATTTTGGAGAGAGCGGGAAAAGAAAAAGTTCCTGCGGGATTGACTGCTAGTATTGAAGGAGAGAAATTGTATAGAAAAGTGGGGTTCAGAATGCTAGGAGATTTTTATACGAGAGTTGGGAGGCAGCATGCAGAGGGAGGCGGGCATATGATTTGGTGGCCGGAAGGTGTTGAGAAGGATGGAGATTACTGAGTCAGTGCTATCGAAGTACTGAATGCAATGCTTGCATAGAGGGGAAGGTCGATTAATATTTTAAAGCCATCAAAATAAATCTTATTCATCGTTGAAAGTAGGTTAAGTTATAGAAGATAAGTTCCAAGCCCTTCCCACCCGAATCGATCACGTTTCACAATGAACATCGTTCTCCACCATCCCAAATGATAGCTTCATAATTGACCCTAAACCTCCTATTTCCCTCCAACTCCGGCTCCAAAACACCTCTTTCTCACTTCATACTCAGACCACAAATTGCACACACCACACCCGCTACAACAACCAGCCAGTAAACATTACCTACAGTCGTGACTAATGCACTTAACGCACTCTTCATAATATCCTCATCGAAAGTGCCCATATCTCCCATCCCCTCACTTTTTAACCCACCCAAGGCTTCCCTCATAATCTCCATCGGAACCCCATCTCCAAAAACTTCTTGAAGCTTCTTCACTCCCAAATTTTGGTATATGCATCCCGCAATCCTAAGTGCAATACCCGCACAGCCTACTTGTGCGACATTTATATACGCTATAAGTTTTTGTTCATCGGCGCCTGATTCTTCAGTAGCTGTGATACCCTGTGCACCCATCGATGATACTTTACTCATGCCAATATCGTAGGCTATTTGAAAGATCATTCCTACTCCTATTCCTATCAGGATAGAATAGAGATAAATTGTTTTGTTGGAAGTATTGATAGTGACTCGACTCATGAATATTCCACCGACAATCATGAAGACTGAGGCGAGAATATAAATGGCTTTGTATTAACCGATTCGCGGGAGTAATGCACCTGTGCATAAAATAATGATGAAGAAGGCTGCGATTGCAGGGATCAAATTGAGTGCTGATGCCATAGGAGAAGTGCCATGTGCAAATTGATAAAGAAGGGGAATATAGAAGATAGGTGTGACGAGTGCTGTCATGGTCGCAGCAGTAGCGATAAAGAGAAGAATGAGTGTTCGAGAACGCAGGAAATGAACTGGGAATATGCGATGGAAGGAAGTGGTAAGAATGCAAAGAGATTGTTGGATAACAAAGCAGAAAAGAGAAATGCCGAAGAGTGTCCAGACTGCGATAGAAGAAATAGACGACCAGGACCAAGTTGAGCCGCCCATTGTGACCCCAACGAGAAGAGAGGCCCATAATATAACATGCAAGACGAAACCGAGAAAATCAATGAGTTTGAGTTTCTGTGAGATTGAGATAGAAGGCATGGGGTTGTGTTTCGGCAAAAAAATGAGGAATGGGGGAGCCATGATTGCCGCGAGGGAGATTGATATAGAAAGACCAACGCCACCCGAGAGCCGGAGTATTCGCAAAAGCGCCGCCAATTACTGGACCAAGAATGTTGCCGAGTCCAAAGGAGATTCCAAGAATTGCGTTGTAGATAGGTCTTGTACGTGGAGGTGTGAACTTAGATAGGTAATCAAGAGCTCTAAAAATATGGTCAGTATATATAGCATGCATGACTGCTAATCCTCTATCTCCGTAGTGTGTTTCAGTCCTCAATGCTTCTAAGCGACTAAGAGAACTTTCCATACAAAAAGCGAGGAACCCAAAGAGATAGAAGAGGCAACTTACCCTAGATCAATTCCCGCTCCTCCAATACCCGCCATAACCCGTCCAACTATCATAGCGTTCATCGAATTCGAAGCTCCACAAATCGCACTTCCTACCTCAAAAAACAACATACTAAACATGTACATGTATTTAATTTGGAAAATACCATAGCAAGAACCGATAAGTAGAATAGTGGCTCCAGATCCAAGTGGATCAGCCACACCAACACCAGCAACCTTTTCAATTTCTCCTAGACTTTGGAAAATAGGTCCCTGTGCGTCGGCGACTATGGTAGCATCAAGTCCTAAATTGTGGCAATTAGAAACAAACACCGTGGGCCCTTGAACTTCAACAGCAATATATGCGAATCTTACCTGCTAGAAATGCCCCTATGGATAATCCGCAGAAGACTGGTATCCATTTCCAAGTCGAGACGGTTTTATTTTCTGACACCAACGGTACCTGAAGATCGCTGAACCGTCGTTCATGTTGCAGGAGTTGTTCTCTCGAGCCTTTCTCATCTGGCACAAATTTATCCAATGGAAAGGTAGAGTTCGGTCTTGGAAAGGTAATGACAGAAGGAGGCGATTCAATGAAACCTAGGAAGGTTTCCGTCGACTCAGATGAGGATTTACTTGATTCATCAGACACTCTGCTTAAAAGTCTAGGATGTGTGTTCTTGAAATCCATGATGTATGATTGATAAGTATTGTTTCATGACGAATATAAAAATGGAAGGGACTTGAAGTCTCATTATACCAGCGTAGCCCTCCATCAATACATCGTCGATTCTACGTCGTAGATCCTTCATGGCTATATGGATGATGTATTGATACCAGAAATACTTCAATATTTCACTTATTTGCAATGAAGTTGCGTTTCAATTTCTATTAGGTTGAATAAATGATGTGGTAGAATAGGGGCTGAGTATAGATGTATGCATTTACAACAATATGTGCGTCAGATCGATGGATATACCTGCCGACGTATACATCAATTTTCTACATTACATGCGGAGGTTTAACTGCATACAGGTGTGATGCGGCATGTCGCCGGCAAATATTATCTATAACGTGATTGAGTGCGGGTACTTTTGGCCCCCATTGCATACTGGCTGCATACATCACATAGTTGAAGATATCTGTATGGGGTGGGTGGGATGAACTCAACGCCGTTGCCTGAGCAAGGATGATATTGAAGCGGGGTAGAATGCCATTGATAGATCTCTTTTATCCATAGCTATAATTAGAGAATGAAGTTGTGAACACCCAAATTGGGCTTGCCCAATACCAACTCGTACCCATTCTTTGGGTTTCATGGTGTATGTATTTAGTGATAAATCGTAAGTGACGGAAAAGGAAGCTGAAATCGCGAGTACAGATGAAAGTTACAATGGATTTGGTTCCTAGACCACACATCGCCATACATGCAAAGAGATTTCCATGCAAATCCGAAGAAATCATGAATTCAAAAATATTGACTTGCTAGACCTATTATATACCTACTTACCTCGAAGAAAGCAAAAGTGGAAATATCGGTCAATTCTAATGACAACCTCCGAAATCACAGTCCAAACATCTCTTTGTATGTTTATGTAGGATATGTTTATGTAGGAAAGGTTCTTCCATCAAGGCAAAGATGCAAGACGAGTGCTTAGAATAGTATTTTAGAATAGTAGAACTGCATCTTCCGATAGATGTACTTATAACTACCCGAGTAGTTGAATAGAACGTAGCATGACGGCTTACTAATATCCGCGTCAAAAAGCGTTTTGATGGCTGAGGCACTAACTTTATTGAACATTTCATAGAGTTTCTCAACATCCAGTTCAACAATCGAGACAACTCACATAAACTCGACTCATTATTTATCAAAAGTTTCTTTGTTTTGTGCGATCCTCTGCACAAAATTGTATTCAAATTCTTTTGAGTACAATGGCTAATCCTAGACTCCAATTTTATAACCTCCTGGCATCAATGTTTGGAAAAGTCTGGTTGGGTCATATTTTCTCGAAATAGACAAAAGCTTAGCCTCATTCGTTGCTCCATATCCAGGAAAGATGCTCTGAAAACCGGCTGCATCGCCCATGTAGTTAAAAGGATCGTACAGCCCAGCCGCCTCCGTAGCATTGTTGATCGCATAGGTTGTTTTCTCGACCCAAGCGGCAACAGTTTCGTCATAAGTCGATCCAATCCACTCTACAACTTCCGCGTAGCAAAGATATGTGCCCTTCGAAGAATCAAGGCCTAGTGCATTACCACCATTTGCCTCTGAAGCACTCAACCAAAGCGACCCGATAGGTTGCCAGTCAATCTCGATGATGGAAATGTTCTCTGCCGGAAGCTGAGCATACAGCTCAGGAAGTGCTGAATAAAATGTGTCGTTGATAATCTTTATGCCTTGAAGAAGCTCGGCATATGTTTTCCCCACGATAGTTCCCGCAACGAACACGTCATTAATGTTGGGTGTTATAGCGGTATTTGTCTCAAGGGCGAATTCTGTGAGGGTCTTAAAGTCCAAAGTGTTACTAACACTCGGGATGGAAGTGAAAGGCTCGAAACAAGCAGGGTAGCTAATATTAGTGCTATCATAGAAGAGGATGACGGCGCCAACAGAGGTGGTTGAGTCAACAGGGATGACTGCGGGAACAATGTGAGAAAGTGGATCGACGATGTTCGTGGAGTAGTTTGCTATGGCCTTTAATTCTTAGTATGTCTCTGTCTAATGGTGTTAAAGAAATGCTTACCGCATAAAATTCCGGGATATACTCCTGTGCGACGGTATATATACCAGCCCAAATTCCTTCCGATGGAACTGTTCTCAAATCAAATTTTGTAACAATACCAAAATTGTTGCCACCTCCCTTCAACGCCCAAAAGAGATCGGCATAGGAGCTGGAGGTGGCGTATACAATTGTGCCATTTGCCAGGACCGCTTCGTACCCAATGATCATATCAGCAGAGAATCCATGCTGGTTTCCATAAAAGTTTACGCCACCAGCAAGAAGGAGCCCTGGTACACCGACTGAAGCTAAACGACCCCCAAGAACAGCGCGATTGTAGGTCTGAAGATAACTATACACATCCCCCCATCTGTGACTTGGGCCGACAGATAGTGTGCTATAATCATCAGATATCGACAGCGTCGTAAGGTTTGACATGACCATCAATACGCCGTTGTCAATATTGTTCGACCCTTTGATTGCCATATGGCCACCGCCTCTTACAGCGAATTTTCCTTCTGTCTTTCCCAGCAGCGCAACTGCTGCCGCAACATCTCTAGCAGTTGAAGGCCGAAAGACACATTCAGGGCTCAAGTATTCCGTCTGAGACCAAAAGTTCTTGTTTTCGTACTGATAAATGGTACTATCGGAGTAAAAGACTTTGTCCGGGAAGATGGCTTCGACTGTAGCGCACCCAACTACATCAATCGCGACATCGCGGATGAAGTTGTCGGCTGAAACCCAGTTGCCGAGGAATAGCGGACTAAGAATGAGACGAAGGATAGCTCCCGCCATAATTTTTGCTTAATTACCAGAATGGCAAGCAATTGACAATCGAACAATGATGATTGCACGGAAAGGTGTACTTACATACCTTGAAGGAAATTAACCTTGGCGGTAAATTAAATTATCGAAACCTTTCTACGCACGTCGTTACCGAAATCACTTAGGGGCGTGGGAGTTCATCCTCTGTCTAATGGCCTATTGCCGCCATTCTATATTAATATGTACACCCCTACTTTAGTGTAGCATTGTATTTCGGATTTGCCGAACGGTACGTGAGGAAACGCGGGGATTAATTGCGGTGAAGACAATCTCGGTGCAGATTGCCGTTCACTACTTTTGCCACTGAACTATTGATAAGCTCCACATCGCGTCTTTCTACTTTTCAAGCTACGAGAACCCACCACGCTACCGAAAACGTGGTGTGCGAGTTACTAGTCGCACATGGCAAGTTTGGGCTAGCACATACCGGACTTGCTCTGTTTTCTTTACTTCGTACATACTAAGAGCTCTTCACTTTTCCTATTGCTCCTTGAATCCGATTTGGTTGTACATTGGTAGAGACCATCAATTGTCAATCTGCAAGGCTTACTGCTGCCGTTGCATTATGCTTGCGAGTGGATAAATACCGACTAGAGATATTATCGGAGTGCTATAGCTTGCTCTCAAGTGAAAGGCCGATTCATTCATTCATTCAGTCAGGTCCAGCCGCCGACACAAACCCAAACAAGCAGCGAAGAGCTATCCGACGGCGGGATGTTATTAAATCACTGGGGCTATTGAGCCCTTCAGCAAAATCCCTGAACATATCATCAATACGTATAATTGATCGAGCCCTGTCATCTTTGGATATCCAGTACAAAAAAAATGGGAATGATTTTCAAGTGGGACAGCCCCCCATGTGCGTCCACTATAAAACCCCTGTATTATAGTGGATAGGCAATCCTCTTTGAGCCTTGAGAAGTGATCTTTATAGTGTGTTCCACTATATTTACGTGCCGAGATAGTTTCTGAGGATCATTACAGATATGTGATGTTACGCAGATAATTCAACTTCTTTTTGTAGACGAAAAATGATTCAGGTCCAATGATATTTGCAAACTATTACGAAAATTCTAATTTTTTGACATTCGGCCACTAGTTCTCAGCCTATTTCTTTCTCCATATTCTCTAGACTACCGGTTTCTGGCTCGGCTCGCCCCGGTATTACGTACTGTGTGCTAGGAACGACGCCCGCCAAACTATTGGTACTAACTCGAACACTCCTCATGACCGTCTAGGGTGTCGATTGAACATGGTACAATGAATGACGCTGTAGTATCGCAATCTCAATTCTATACTCAACCAAAGAACTAATTTTAAAATGCTGTGATACAGCGAAATCTAAGATAGCGTCTGTTCATAGGAGAAAAAACGACCAGAATTGACCGCTGGCAAAGCCCCACAACAACCTGATTGTCCCATTTTGATTCAGAGAATTTAAAAGTCTAAATAGCATCACAACTGATGAACATCTAAGGATTCGTTCAACACTATTAACTCATATCACTTTATTAAATAAGCTATTGTAGTGGTCAATCTTGGGCTTTTTTTCCTCCTACGTATAGGCGGTAGTTCAATTTACCGAAGATGCGCCTAAAAAGGAGGGCAGCCAATCGATCTTAGAAGAACTCGCGATTATTATCATCAAGTCAATTGCAGTTGCTCATAAAGTAGACAATTGGTGATTTGACTTACTGTAATCATTAAGAGCCTTCCGATATTTTATCGTTCCATTCAGCAATGTCTATGCAATATGATCCAGCTACACGACTATCATGCGCAAGAAGAAAAGACCAGCCTCACGATCGTCAGAAACAGGCGAACATCACAATTCTCCGTTCTGATTGGAATTTGACATCAAACCGGCAAAGCAACACCTGTTCTCAGAAGTTCCAGTAATAATACTCAGTGAATCAAACTCATTTTTCTATTTGAAAGAATTCGCAGCATAGAAGATTTTTTTTGGAATCAGTTTTGGCAAAGAATCACTTTCAGACTTTTTCTTACTAGTGAGGTTTTTGCGCTCATTTTCTTGTCTGACGATCGCGAGCCAGCAAAGACCAAAAATTACTCGGGAAAAGAAGTACAGAAGGTATCGTAGATATTAAATTGGCAATGAATATTAGGCAAGTGCAGTAATGAT